CCACAGGCACTGCCCAATATCATTAGATTTTTTTAAAGAAGATTCTCTAAATTTATTTATAACCGGCCTCATCATGTAAGGCCCAGCAAGGTGGCTCATACCTGCAATCCTATCACTGTGGGAGGCCAAGGAAAAATGATGCCTTGAGCTCAGGAGTTTGAGACCAGCCTGAGCAAGAGTGAGACCCCATCTCTACTAAAAATAGAAAAATCAGCCAGGCATTGTGGCAGGTACCTGTAGTCCCTGCTTGGGAGGCTGAGGCAGGAAGACTGTTTGAACTTAGGAGTTTGAGGTTGCTGTAAGCTAGACTGACTCTGACTTGGGGCAAAAAGAGTGAGAATGTCTCAGAAAAAAATAAAAAGAAAAGGATAAAAGAAAAACATGAGGAACAAAGCAGGGGGTTAAGTGATCTTTGTTGAATAAATATGAATGAATATTCATATTATTAAAAATCCCTGAGGACTTCCCATTTTCCTAAGGATAAAAAGAAAACTCCTTAATACAGTCTGACTCTTACCTTTACAGTCTTAATGCCTCATCTCTTTGTGCTCAAGACAAAATAGGCTGTCCTCATAGTCAGAAAGCTCTTCTCATGACCCTCTGCCTACCTTAAATCCATCTGTCAGATCTTGGGCAGATCTTCCTCAAGGCAGCTTTCTCTGACCTTCCAAACTTGTACAAGGAAACCCTGTGGCATTAGGGTTTTTTTGGGGGGGGGCCTGGGTTTAGTTTGAACCTGCCACCTCCATCCAGCATATGGAGCCGGCGCCCTACCCTTTGGAGCCACAGGTGCCGCCCTAGGTTTTTTATTTTTTAGAGACAGAGTCTTACTATGTCACCCTCAGTAGAGTGCCATGGTGTCACAGCTCACAGCAACCTCCAACTGTTGGGCTTAGGCGATTCTCTTGCCTCAGCCTCCGGAGTACAGGTGCCTACCATAGCACCCAGCTATTTTTTGTTGCAGTTTGGTCAGGGCTGGATTCGAACCCGCCACCCTTGGTATATGGGGCCAGTGCCCTACCCACTGAGCCACAGGCACTGCCCAGCATTAGGTGTTTATTGCACTATGTACCTCTTCACTGTAATCATGGCTCCAACTTTATATTTGTTTGCATATTTAGTCAATGAGTTTCTTGCCACCTTCAGACTATCTGCTCGCTAAGGGGTGCTGTATAATACTGATCACCACTTGTATATCCTGTGCACAGCAGAAGACAAGGCACATGAATATTTGAGAAAATAAACTTGCTGAATGAATGAATGAGACAATTTTTTTTTTTATCCAAAGTACTATAATGGCAGGATAACATTTATAAATCCATTGCTTCTTAAAAGAGAAATGATGTTCCTGATTTTTATTCTACAACATAAAGACCAGTGCCTAAAGACCTCACAGTCACTTTTTTCCCAAATCTTTTTGACAAATGCCTTCATTAATCACCATCTGTTTATGTGTGCTATTCTAAATAACATTTTGGTTACATTTCTGAAACACTTCCTGCCATTAACCTCATCTCTAGAGCACTAGCTAATATGAAGCACCTGGATTTCAGGAACACAAACCTGAAACTCAACACACCAAACTAAACTGTTATGTAAATGACAGAAATGACACATTTTGGTCTATGACTCTCTAGACAGCATTTGGACCAATTTAACTTTTACCACTAAAATTCTGTCACTTAATTTTTTTATACTCATTTTGAGCTCCTGATAAATTACAGATGAAAAAGAAATACACTGATAACAATCCTCATGAAAGTCAGTCTTTAAAGAACACTATCAATCACAGGCTTTCTAGGTTCCTATCAATTCATTCTGTGATACTGGACTTCATTTTTGTGACAATTATGTTCTGAAAAATCTATATAGTCATAAACAAAAATCATTTTTTTTTGAGACAGAGTCTTAGTATCCGTCACCCTCAGTAGAGTGCTGTGCTGTCATAGCTCACGACAACCTTAAACTCTTGGGCTTAAGCAATTCTCTTCCCTGAGCCTCCCAAGAAGCTGGGGTACTACAGGCGCCCACCACAATGCCTGCTATTTTTTGTTGCAGTTGTCATTGTTGTTTAGTAGGCTGGACTTGAACCCGCCAGCCTCGGTGTACGTGGCAGGCGCCCTACTCACTGAGCTATGGGTGCAGAGCCCCAAATCATTTTTTTTTTCATAAATGAGACCTACGTCTGGATTCCGGTTCTTCCATTTTTCATTTGTGTTATCTTAAGCAAGTAACTTAAAATCCCTGAGCTTCAGATTCCTCACATGTAAAATCAGATAACGTTTTGGATTGTTTGTGAAAACACCACACTGTACCCCAGAAGTGCATTAATGTACACAGTTACTATTCAATAAAAAAAGAAAAAAAAAGTCCAAGGTGGCACCTGGAGTAGGAAAGGAACCACCAATCCAGATAAAAAAATAAAATAAAATAAAATAAAATCAGATAACAATTCCTTTGTCCTAAGATGGCTTGAACAAGATAAAACTGGCTTTGCTCAAGCATGATTAGTATCCCTTTATCTCCCCCTTGTTATATAGGGAATCTATTCTATTCTAGGATTCTGCAAGATAAAATAAATATTTTAGTAAAAATCATGCTGTTCATTTACCTATTAATAAACTTTGATTTTTAGGTTTTAAATTTATTTACTAACTTAAAGTCTTAAAAAGTACATTTACAAATAATACATTTAAAAAATAAAAGATGCTAATTAACTAAAATGCTGCATAAATAAAAACTATAATTACACAGAATAACAAAACCATACAAACTAATCAGATCTAAAGAAGTCGGCAACAGAAATCTGATGATACTCTTACACCATGTAACTAGGAAAATGGAAAGTAGAGACACATCCTCCTTTGGTCAGGCATGAACTGAATATTCAAAAATACAAAATAGGGAACTGGGAAAAAACAGGAAATGATAAATTAGCAAAAACTAAGACTCCTTAATTTTTATATTCACTTACATATTTCACTTCTATTATTTTAATCAAATTCAATTAAGAACCAAAAGGAAAGTTAAGTAGGTAAAGTGAGAACCAAGGAAGTCCTCACGCAGGCTCATTTGTCTCTTTCTGTTTAAGGAAAAACTGCCCAACTACTCTGACAGAGGAATTATCAGGCAGGAGGCGCTGCCCTTAGAAGGGTCCCATGTAGCAGCCAGGTTTTGTCAACCAAATTTTGAGAACTTGCTGCCTTACTACTTTCTAATTATAGAACTTTATTATAAAAACCATTCTCCCTTTTATCCTCTTTCCCTCTCTTCCTCCCTGTCTATCTCTCTGAATCCTTCTGTATTATGGTACCACAATAAAGCAGTATAGGAGAATCTGACAGTTTCCTGCTAGAACTGAATGATAAATTAAAAAAAGAAAACCCTTCCTCTGTATACCTACCTGTACTATTTATTATTCTGACTGCAATAATTATGCAATAAGTATAATACACTTTTCCTATAGCACCTTAGTGTTACAATTAAAAAACCACAGTTTAGTTTAAACACAGGTGCCAGAACTTAACCCAGGGAAGTGCTGGGAGGTACACATAGCAAAACCATTTGGGAACTTTTCTTTTGGAAATGTCTTCAGAGTCTGTGGTATATTTTATTCAACTAAATTCTATAAGATATTATATTTTACTTGGCTGTAGAAATGTTTTATAGTATGTTACTATGGAGCTCACAATACAATAAAAGTATAATGAGAATAAAATTAATAAATGATAAATGATTTAAAGAATTAACAAAAATTCACATGCAAGGCACTTTTCAAGACACACAACATAAACACAAAACAGTAACCTTCCTTTCAGGAAAAATATGAACCACTTGAAAATTACACCTGCATCACTAAATCAAAAAATACTCTTTGTTCCTTCAGTACACTGAGATTTTTGTTTGTTGGCTTATCTTTAATTATATAATTTTCCTCTCTGAACACACAGACATGTGATAGTTCTATAAAAGCTTTAAAAATAACTATGGCCGTAACTATTGATGAGGATTGTGGGATACTGAAAACGGCTACAAAAGGAAATTACACCAAAACCTTTTAAGCTTCAGTGGAAATCCTGGTAGATTAGAGTCTACGCCTATGAAATTATGTTTCCACAATTCACCATTATAATCTTTTTCATGATTACAAGAAACCTGCTTCCAAGAATATCATTCATTCAACAAATATTTAATATTTGCTATATGCCAAGCACACAGGAGTTTTAAAGGACTCTACAGAACAGGAAGTTGCTTTACCTCATACAAGTGTGCTGTAAGAAAGACTTGAGAGCTACTGTCTACTGTGTTGTACAACACTGAGGACTCACCACCTACAACAAATAAATACAGCCTGTTCCTGTCATTTGCAGTAGTTACGCTGTATACAGTTGCTGCAAATGCTGAATAGACAAACACTGAGCCACTGCTCCTAGAGGAGACGGGGGTCATGTTTCTGTGAGCATCAGTCACACGTCTACCAACCAATCAAAACCTAACTTTGACTTGCGTTTCTGTTTAAAAACAGAACATCGGCATATGCTTGGGGTCCATCTTAAATAGCATAATCACTAACAAAAAGTACAAAAATGTGAAAAATAAGACACGAAACAGACTACGAAGAGCCTTGTTTACAGTACAACAGCTGAAACAAGGTAGAGCATGGTTTTGTTTGATCTGTGCTGGGAACATGCACCTCTGGTGAATCAAATGTTTCACTGCTCTGCATGAGTCTGTCACGACCAGAAAAGTGTTCCAAGTACTGACTTTGGAGTTACAAATAAATTTTAGCTAATAAGTGTATCTGCCAATACAGAATTTACGAGTAATGACTATCAACTACATGAGCTAAATAATTTCAGCACAGTCTCTGATCTGACTGTCACCAAAAGACACAGATCTAAAAAACCCTAATAGTGCTCAATTAAGAGTTTTGGATTTGAATGCTTCAAGAAGACAGAAGGCTTTCACAAACAGACAATTTTTAAGATGTTACTTCCTACCTGATATATTCTGAAGGGAATATAACGAAATCCATTTTCTTCTGCAGGATATTCCATGAGTTTCCGGTTGATGGCCCAAAACTGGTCAAATCTATCTGTAATGATAGAAATTGTTATTAAAAATGAACATTATAATGAAATGACTCACACGACAAAATGAAAGTTTTAAACATGCTCCCAGCAGTTTCTGAAAGGATATCTTTTAAATAGCAATTTTTTTTTCTTAAACTTATCTTCTCATAATTAAACATAAAACAAGAAATAAAATTAGGCTCTATGCCCATAGTACAGTGCCAACCACATGCACCCATGGTGGTGGGTTCAAACCTGGCCCGGGCCAGTAAATAATGACAACTGCAACAAAGAAATAGCTGGGCATTGTGTCTGGCACCTGTAGTCCCAGCTACTTGGGAGACTGAGGCAAGAGAATTGCTTAAGCCCAAGAGTTGGAGGTTGCTGTGAGCTGTGACGTCACAGCGCCTACTGAGGGCAACATAATGACATTGTCTCAAAAAAAAATTTTAATTTTTCTACATATCGTTTCCTCTTCTGTCTAGATGTTCACATCAACAGTTTTTCCTCATAAGAGAACCCTAACAGATATACAACTACTTGCGTTATCAAGGCATAAAACACCATATAAGGAATAGATGACTTGACTCTCCTTATCCTACAACTTCTGCTAAACTATAAAGACACAGCTTCAAGTAACCTAAATGTTAACCAGAACTTGTGTAAAGAAACAAGGAGGATAGGATCGGCGCCTGTGGCTCAAGCGGCTAAGGGGCCAGCCACATACACCTGAACCGGTGGGTTCAAATCCAGCCCAGGTCTGCCAAACAATAATGATGGCTGCAACCAAAAAATAGTCGGGCGTTGTGGTGGGTGCCTGTGGTCCCAGCTACTTGGAGGTGGAGGCAGGAGACTCGCTTGAGCCCAGGAGTTGGAGGTTGCTATGAGCTGTGATGCCACGGCACTCTACCCAGGGCAACAGCTTGAGACTCCCTCAAAAAAAAGAGAAAGAAAGAGAGAAAAAGAAAGCTAGAAAGAGAAAGAAGGGAGGATAAAATTATAGGAAAGGGTTTGAAAGAAATATGAAATTGACACTTATGAACTACCAAGTGAAGCCTAATCTCAGACTGAATAAACTCCTTCATAAATTTTTCAAGTTTAATTAAAAATTATTGAGAGAATGATTTGCACACCACAAAATTCACTATTTTAAAGTACATAATTCAATGGTTTTTAGTATAGTATAGTCAGAGTTCAAGACATTTTCATTATCCCCAAAACATCTTTAACTATTAATAGCCACACCCATTCATGTCCCTGGAAATCATCAGAACTTCTACCTCTATGGTTTGCCTACTCTGAACATCTCACGTAAGTGGAGTCATACATATGTTGTCTCTCACATCTGCCTTATTTTCTCGCTTGGCATAATATTTTCAAGACTCATACAAGTTGTAGTACACATAAGAACTTAATTTGCTTCTCTGGCTGAATAAAGTTCTTTCATATGGTGTTATCAGATTTTGGTTATCCATCAGGTGATTTGTTTCTACTTTTTGGCTATTCTAAGTAATGCTACTAAAAACATTTGTGTACAAATTTTTGTGTGGATGTAAGTTTTTGATTCTCTTGGGTATGTACTTAGGAGTGCAATTACTGGGTCTTTGGGTAACTTTGTTTAACTGATATATAGTAACTATATTCTGAGGAAATGCCCAACTATTTTCTAAAGAGACTATATTACTTTACATTTGCATTAGCAATGTGTCAGGGTTCCAATTCGCACACATCCCTGCTGATACTTGTTACTGTGGGTCACTTTTCTTATAACCAGCCTAGTGGACACACAGTGGTATCTCACTGTGGTTTTAATTTGCATTTCCCTGCTGACTAGTTGTGCTGAGCACCTTCTTATGTGTTTTCTGGCCATTTGCACATCTTTTCTGGAGAAATATCTATCAAGCCAAAACTGGGGGTTTTTTATTCTTGGGTTTTAAGAGTTCTTTATATATTCTGGATACAAGCACCTTATCTGATATGTGATTTACAAATATTTTCTCCCACATTTTTAAGCAATTCTATTTATTGATTGATCAATTGATTGTTTGAAATCTGGTCTTCTTATGTGGCCCAGGCTGCCCTTAAACTTGTGGGTTCCAACAATCCCCCCACTTCAGCCTCTCAGGTAAGTAAGACTATCAACAAACCCATGCCACCACAACCAGCAAGCAAATCCTTTTTAACTCACCTACAGTCTTACCTTAATAAAACATTTTATACTCAGAAATTATTATCAGAATCAAATCTCAGTAAAGCAAGTAAGTAGATCCAGAATTTCAGTTCATCTTGGGATTAAAAGATCATTCTCTACTACTTGATTTGTCCCAAACCAACTTACTGGTAATCTACTGATTCTGCATAAACCAGCCTAACTATACACTATAAAAAATAAAATAAAAATTTAGTTGTTTCTTTTTATACCCCCAGTCCTACAAGACTGTGACAAGCTTTTGGCCTTCCCTGCTCCTATCTTCAGCTCCAATCTGGAAGACTCATACTATGTTAGAACTGGTAGGATAGGGAATTTTGGATCCAGTTAATCTAGTTCACTTTCACAGATGATTAACTTTGGCCCACATTGTTATTGGTTAATCAAGAACCAAGAGCAAAATCTTGGTCTTCTGATTCAAAGTCCACAATTGTTGCAACATACACGCTCGCAAAATTTTACTTTAATGCTAACAGTAGCTACTTTGATATAGTTTTTATACATACTTGATCTTAGTCAAAAGGCCAAGAAGCAATAGTTTTTATACATGAAGCATTACTCTTCTATTTAAAAAGTATCTTTTTACCATCAAGTATCAAGCAAGAATGTGACAGCTACCTGAGTCTGTGTACACTTAAAATTTTACTAACTGCCTCATCATTAAATCTTAAGCACCTAGTATGGTGCATGCATAGTACAAGCTCTTCAGTCAAAGACTGAATGTAACAGAACACTATGAATACAGCATCTCATTAAAACATTGTGAGTTCTAATCCCATCCACAACTAAATAGCAAAAAAAAACTAGAACCAAAAACTATTAAAAATCCAGACTTAACTCATGTAGAAATGAAAAGAAGTTAGTTTCTAATGCCTCATCTAAAAATAAAATTTTGTAATTGTTTGAAGATTGATTTCCTCTTTGTTAAAATAAGCCTCTTTAAAAGCACAAGCAAATTCTTATTAAATAAGAGGTTTATACTGGTTCTAACAAAGAAGAAAACATGGATTAAAACAGTAGTTCTCAACCCAGGAAGATTTTATTCCCTGGAGTCTTTCGGTACTTTCCAGAAGCATTTTGGTTGTCTTAACTGTTAAACACACTATAATGCGTAGGACAGCTCCCTAAAATAACTGTCTGATCCAAAATGTCAACAGGGCTCAAGGAAGGAGAACAAACACAAGAAATAAAAACTACAGAAAGGTAATTAGCAAAAAGTTTTTACATACCTGTATAGCAAAAAGGTAAACTGGAAAAAGGAACATTATTGTGCCAGTTATCAATTTAATGACTCCTAGTTCCAAATTCACCCTTCAAAATGTGCACTGCCACACGGACACCAGTCCTTTAAGCATCTCTATTGTGAGAACCACTTTAAGATTTCTCAGCAGATAGTGCTGAAAGGAGACTGAAAGACAAAGGTGCTTCTGAGGTTTCTATGGCATGGTGAATCAGGGTATGAGGGTGAAGATATCAGGAGGAATCCTGCCCCAGGCATATACACAGATACCAAGTCTCTTTAGCAACACTGCATCCTTGGCTTGACCTCTCAACACAGAATCCAGCACTCTGAAGTACAGAATCCTGCCTGCACAGTACACTGAAAGCCCCTTGTCCTTATCAACACCTCAGTTTCCTCTGGAGGCCCACACAGGCTGTTCATTGGCAGTTTCTCACACTATACAAAGGTTATTCATTACCTGCACTCCAGACTGCCAGGACTGTCCATGGTCTGCAGACCAACTCCAGGCTGGGCAAAACACTGAACTTTTCCAACAAGGTCTGAACCCTGGCATTGGGGAAGGGGCCTCTTATAAGTTTGGCCTTCCTCCCTCAGTCCCAGGGTACCACATGTGGTTTTTCTTACATCTTATAGTCATTCTTTATCAGATTTTAATGATTCTTTCTATAAAACTTACCCTGTTCAACCATTCTGTGGTTTCTATCTCCTGACTGGACACAGATATGACTATGTTTAAAAGGAAAAAAGATACAATAAAAAGATCTGTATTAATATTAGTTTTTAATCTCATAAGAATATGAAAAGGGCATTTTCTTAGCAATAAGTAAACATACACCAGCCAAAAAGAAACTAATGTTTACAGGTCAAAGTTATTAACAAGAACAATAAAAACCAGAAGTATAAGAAAATCAGTGCTGAGATTGAATGTATAACCAAGTGGTTTTTCAGATTAGATTTTGTAATATTAGGACCTCATTCTATACTCTAGTCAATAATTAAAAGAAAGAACACTCTACTATCTCCCTAAATACTAATGAATCAAATAATGACTTCTGACCTGTTTCTGAGTATTAGTCTCAATATTAGAATTATGCTATTATAATAATTAAGTCATGAAATTAGCTATTTGTTTTATCAGCCATCTAGAACAGTACTTATACGTAACAAAAGCATAACGGTCTGGCTCTTTATTTTGCAAACTGTAATTGTAGATACACGTGTATCAACATAAACAACTTTCATTTACTTGGTGCTAATGCAAAAACAAAACAAAAAGAACTAAGTAGGAGAAAATTAAAGCTAGCAGTCACTTGGAGAAAGGAAGATAACACATACTTCTTGCCAAAACTGTTGGCAATATGACTATAAAGTTGGTTTTTAAAAACCTAACATTTGTTTAAGAAGGCTACCAAATCAAGGATCATATAATTAAAGAACTGTTCAATAGAAACATTCAGTCCATCTTTTTAAAAAGGGGGACATTATATTCCTTTTTAAAAAGAAAGAGAATTCCTTAAAACCCTGACAGCCACCAGTTTTTCCTTACGCTCTGCTGAATTATATGTTCACGT